TAATTAAATTTTAATTTGATGTCGGTAATGAGAAAGGAAATTCAATGAATGTCCGATATTACGCAAGTCTCTTATTTCTGTATTAAAACACGGTGAACAGAATGTAGCTGCGTCTACAAGTAGACACGGAGCTTCTTTGCTTTTTTTCCTTCTCTCAAAATTCTTCCCGTATCCATCGGTTTACAGTGTCGTGGATGTATGTATATCCGCAATAAATTCATTATCGATTATCGGGGAACAGAGTCGAGCGAAAATTTTCGCGACGCGGATTCGGGATAACGCGACAGCCGCCAGCACGGGGAGTAGAGATTAAAACGTGAAAAATTCTCGGTGCGTCAATCGGTCATACGTCGCGCATACCAACGATTGAAGTGTCAAATTAATCCGGGAAAAGTACAACAAATTCATCGTGCAACGCAAAACATCGGAAAATAAAAGCCGTGGGTCGATTCCGACGCAACACCATATGCCCTAGAAATGATTTCGCGATGTAACACCATCGACATACGTGGAAAAACGAGATTCGAGGATAAAATAAAGGCGGATCGAGACGAGATCTCGAGGAGATCGTAAAACTAATTCTGCGCGAGGCGCGCCGAATAATCTGGACCGCGTCGTAACTCAAAAACAGCATTGAGTTATGGTGGGTCGTTGGCGGAGCGTGAGTGATTCTTTTGCTGAAACTATTATTGCACACCTCTGTATAACATGTACGGACGAATACGTCTATATTATCGCGGGAACCGTGGCTTCCATTACAAAACTAGCATCCGTAGTCCACGTTATTGTGCTCTTGTTAATGAGAAAAACATAATGGATACAAAATGATTCGTTTTATCAACCGTAGAAACATGTAGGGTATAGTTTTCGGCTTGCTATTGTCGGAGCAAATAAAATCATCGCAAAAAGTCACGATTCGACTGTTTTCTTCTCTTGCAGGGGATTCATACGTCACTTTGAGTTTTAACCGGTCTACCTTGTAGTACAAGTGTTGTTTTTTACCAACCGATGACGATACGGTAAGTTCATTTACAATAGACGACAATTACATGAATTACCATTCGAAGGTAGTTCAAGGAAGCACGTAGTGAAATGTAATTAAAGAGTTCACGTCGTCCGCTTCTGTTGGGTCTTTCTCTGGTGTAATCGCGTTCATACGCGTAAAGGTAAAAATTCACTTTAAAACAAAGTTGAAAAAGGCGCATATCGTACAGTAAGAGGGTCGAAGAGTTTCTTTTGCGAGTCCAATGTTGTATAGTTCGTGGATCGGTTCATGCCGATAGTCGAAACCAGAATTGACAACCATTCCTTGTAAATGATCTTCCTGTTAAACGAAGGCAACATCATCGTACCTATGGCTAAATGTTTCAGACATGTAGCTAATCGAAACCTGTAAGCCAACAGATATCGATGTTTGTACGTCAACGGTGCCACACTGTCAGTCGTGCAATCAACGTTTGCTTAGGATACGTATCGACAATCTCCATTAACGACAGTTTCCGAAATGCGGTAACCAAGCCAATCTCGACGAGCAGCACGAACCGGTTGGATACCCTGTAAAACACGGTCGAAACATACCGATTCGAGTCTAAAGTGTGCCTCTATTCGCGAGTGATGTAGGTGTAGATGTGGATGCGTGACCGATTTGAATATGTGTCGCAGGAATCAAGGCCATCCGACGACACACGCCTTCGATCGCGGCGTTCGTCGAGCAACCGACGCGACGTATCGAACGAAGAATCCCGAAGGTTCGCACGATTTGGCGTTCCGAACTCGGAAAGATGCGAGACCGATATTGCGAGCCCGGTGTTCGACAGGTGATGACGGTCGGTCGATTCGATAACCGTCACACGGAAGCCCGTCAATTTTCACGACGGTCTCGGAGAATCGCGCGTCGAGCACGAAGAACCTCTAATGGACACGAGCCAGAGCAGCTTCCATCTTCGGCGGACCGTAAGGCAAACACCGTTCATCCGTGAATCGGCCGGTGATTGCGAGGTCAGAAAGGAGGCCAGCTGTGTCCGCGATCTTTCCTTCCGTCGCGCCACCCAGTGTGTAGGCCGCTTGGAGGCTGCGTCCTTCCGCCACATCCGACACTTCCATCCACTTATCGTAACTCGTTATCCTAACGCTAGATTAACGGCTCCTGTATTACGGCAAGTTACCGGGCTGGGACTGCCCATTCGCGCGATGGAGAAGGACGTTCTTCGCGTCCTGTCACGGTTGATGGAGCCCGAGGCTTCTTACTGTTTGTAGCCCTCGGTGATGTTCAGACTATTGCTTGTTTTACCGACCGTGAACAGTTTCGTAAAAACCACATATTTCGCGAAGAGCCATAGAGGAGTTCGAACTCTAGATTTGTGGTCACTGTTGACCGATGTCGGTAAACAATAAAAATAGTTTGGTTCGTTCAAATTTTTTCTGGAGTCTCGATGAAATTATCGAGGTGAGACAGGATATACACTTTGAAGCCTCGAGCAAAATCAACTGCGATAACCGAGACCATACAGACCCTAACTATCCGATCGATTTATTTAGTACCTAGATACACGAGTCGGCCTTCATGGTCAGCCGACGCGTGTGCAAGCTGCTTCACGAGACACGGTTGGGTAGATGGAGATCTAGCATTTTAGCCTATATTTATGAAACTTTCGCCGAGTGACTCCTGTTCCGGCATATATTTGCATTTCAGTTGGGTATTGTTTAGATCGTATGATTGTAAATCCTTTTGGGAAGTTATTCTTCAAACTCGTCTACTAATATGGTTCCGAAGAACCATTAGACTCTGACCTCACCGGATCTCGATAAGCAGCGAGCACCGTCGAACGCTAAAAACTCTGTTACACGACGATTACGCACACTCGCGATAATGGATTACAGCGACGAGACGGACCGGCTCTTTGGCCGCGGGTACCAGGCTCGAAGACACCCTTAAAAAATATCTACTTTCACCGTTTCCAAGTGTTTCGATCGGTCCTCGTGTCCGCGTATTTATATCCGTGTGTATGTATATATATATATCGTAATCTCGCACAGTTCACCAGTCTTAAACACCGAATTAACGTTATTATCGCTACGGCAGAATTGCTACAACCATTCGTCGGAACTTTCCAGACGCGATAGAGAGTCCATTTCTCCTGAAACCGACGAGCAGTAAACTTTAATAACGATATAATTGGTTAGCCTAAAAAGTGGAGCGATTCAGGGGAACGAGTAGGGTGGCGGGTGGGAACGGGGTTGGGTGGTGGGTGGTGATGCGTATGAGCTTGAGCAGATATTCGAGTCCTACGACTCGCGACTCGTAAATAGTAAACATTTGGTGTCCAAGTCTTCGGCTCCTTTTTTCTACCTTTTTTCTTCCCTTTTTCTTCGTTGTCTCCTCGCCCCAACCAGTTGCGTACGTGCGTCTACTCCCCGTCGTTACAAGCGTCACTGTTTATTGTATTCTGTGATTTATGTCTGTTGCCATTGAATGTAATATAAACTGAACGACAGAACATCTATGCAGAAATATGAAATATCCGTATTATTTGACGTAAAACATAAGTTATGGAACAGCAGTGTGGCGGTAGTTATAAGTTATAAGTTTAACGGGTGTCATATTGTGGTTAAACTTTCCATCTAAATCTTCCGAGAATTTTGAAATTTACTGCAAACTCAGTTCGTAGTCACAGTCTGACCGAAATCAATTTAATACATTTGTGACCGTTACGTGTAAAGTTACGATAATTGACAAAAATAATTTCCCGTGAACACTGAGGCGAAATCAGACTAATACTCGCGGGAAGGCATCCAGATCCAATGTTCCTAAGTCGAGACTTCCTCTTTCAGGATCAGCGGATTGGTTTCGATTGGACCGTGAATGCGGTTTCTCGGTCATTTTTTTGAATTCCTCCTTCGTTCGCGGCAAGTTGTTTGGGATTGGCGGCTTTCGTGAGCTCTCCGAAAATTCGATTCCTATGCTCAGCGCACCGTTAACGTATTCCACTCTCTGGGAGATTCCATTGTATGCCAGAGCGACGGGTAGGAAAGATGGAAGGATGGTAGGAGGAGGAAGCGAGAGAAAGGACAAGGAGAGAGAGAGAGAGAGAGAGAGAGAGAGAGAGAGAGAGAGAGAGAGAGAGAGAGAGAGAAAAGAGAGAGCAACGTGGAGACGACGACGATTCAGAATCTTCTTGAAAAATGTCCTTCTGTTACAATCGAACCGTGGATCCTCGGTGATTTCGTACCGAATTTCGTTTTGAGCTGCGGTGCGTCGAAATATGGTCCTCGTAGTTTGCAATTGTCCCACAGATTTCCAAATTCGTACGACCGTTTCGAAAGTTCGCCGTATAGAAATCGCTTCGATCGACGAATCGGACGAATTTCACGTGTACATTTCTCGAATGAATAAATCTCGATTCCCCAGGAAATTCTCCGCATTCGGAGAATTCGCCGATCTCGATCCAGAGGATGGAGGAGGCGTCTTAGCGGTACTCCTTCCCTTTCGGACCACAATTTGATTAGTGGCGCTGCTGCTGCCCGTCCTTCGAACACGGTGGCCTGACTCTGACAAGAAATTATTATCCGTAGACACGCGGTTCGGGACTTCCGGGAAAGCTCGCACCTGATTAATCCATTACGTCTCCCGGCTACCGCCTCGACTCCTTTTGTTCCTGCTCAACCGGCACTTTGGTCGTACGACGTCTGATATCCATTCTGCCGGATGTCGACGACGTTCTACCTCTGTCCCGGGGTTCTTGTTCTGCCAATCATGTTCGGGGCTTGTTTTCCTTGGATTAATTTTATCCGAACGTAGACAGTTTCTCCGTTTCGTGTGCGCTCGGGATCGATCGTCTTCCTCCCTCGGAACGAGGACGATCCCGATGTATTTTCGCAAAAAGGAAAAAATCGACGGGTCATCCTCCTTGAATTCGAATCTCCTCGTTGTACTCGCTACACTCGCTAGATCCTCCTCACAATCAGTCTGGTGTCTCACAATGAGATCGAGTGTGTTGGGTTTAGACGTCCATCGCATCACCGACGTATCCTTCGTCAGGACTCTCCGGATGATGAGGTGGCTGCAGGTCCTCCGCCCTGGCTGCAGCTGCCGCTGCAGCCTCACGGGCAGTTTTGCTCAGCAAGGACCTGGGAGACAGAGGTGTCGTTTCGCCTCTGTACGCGGCTGGTGGAGAAGGAATGAACGGCACCTCCGGGAACACGGCGACCGGAGACACCGGCGAGACGGGTAGCTGCTGCTGAAGCGGCTGTTCCACAGGCTGGATCTGCGGTTGCTGTTGCACAGGATACGGGTATCCTTCGGCTGTGTACCTGGCGTCGGTCCTGGGCAACACAGGATCGTATCCCGGCGATCTGGCAAGGAACTCCGCCTCCCTAGAGTACCTGGCAGGTGGCGCCACAGCGGAGCCTTCCGCCATCCTCTGTCTCAAGCGTGGAAGGGTGCTGGCGGTGTTGAACGGTATTTTGGGTAGACCGAAGTTCAGAGGATATCCATCCTGGTCGAGATAACTTAGTTGGGGTATGTTCGGTGGACGCAGGTCAGGTTGAAGGGGATATCCAGAGTCGTATTCCAGGATCTGTCTCTCGCCAGGTTGATGGCGATAGAGTTGGCCGTAGCCCACGTCAGTCGTCTCAGGGACTTCGTTGATAAGGTCCGGCTCCGTCAGATACTTCGAGACCGGGCTGCAGTAAGGTTCGTTCACGGTTCTGTGCTCCCTGTGCTCAAGAGTCGCTGCTCTACTCATTTCTCTCTCGGTATACGAGACTATTTGCTGATGTTCTAGGCCTATCAAACTCCCGTTACCCTTCCTACACGATAGACTGGTTGCAGTGTCTTTGGTAATTGGCATCACGGATTTGTTCTGCGAGACCAACGCTTTGGAGTTTCTCTTTCTATCGCGACGACGTTTGCGCACGCAAAACAATATACTGCCTATCAGAGTCCCAAGGGCGAGTAATGTGCCCACCAGAGCACCCGCGGCTATGGCCACGATGTATCCTGACCTCGAGTGATCGTTCGGCGGTTCGACGGTGACTTTTTCTTGCAGGAGCACTCGCAGAGATAGATTTGCCTCCGCGGAACCAGCTCCGTTTTCGGCGATGCACGTGTACGTGCCCTCGTTCAGCGACTCCACGGAGTAGATCAGAAGGGTGCTGCTCATGTTGGTGCCGCCTCGTTGTCTGTAGACGTATCTGGAACAGTTTGCGCGGGTACGTCGATGATAATGTTTCGTTACAGATTTCTTAAATGCTTTGAAAAAACTTTCTCTTATCGTAGAGAAGTCGCGTAACGGAAGCCACGTGTGGCTGCGGAATCGAGCTCGAACTTATTATAGGTCGAAGAAAATTACGCGAAACAGAGATCCTCGTTATCATCGGATTATCGGGAAAACTGGATCCGGGGAAACTAAATCCTGACGCATCCCGACAATATTGAAATCGACATTTTCCGATTACCGGAGTACTCATACGCGGCGACTAATCGAGCATTCTGTATTAATGCACAGAAGAAAGTATTCGCTTACCGTGGAAAGCCGGCAGAAAAGATCGCCAACGAGTCGTTTTCATTCTGTAGCTCGCAAGGTTCCCCGTTGAACCACCAAGTCAACTTAGCAACGGGCACAGCGTAGACGTCGCACTTGAGAGTGACGTTATCTCCCTCGTAGGTTTCAAGCTTCTCCCGCAGCTCGATCTGCGGCAGGCACGCCAGTTCGTTTGGTTTCACGGCCTTGATCTGCTTGTCCCGAAGTTTCGGGGGAGCATCGCAGACAGGTTCGGACTCTTGCGGAGTCATCGGCGCGGATTCCTTAAGCCATGTCTGTGTAGCTCGTAGACGGCAGTCGCAGAGCCAGGGATTATTGTGCAAAGTGAGTCCCCGAACGTTTCCCCCGAGTGGTAGCGTGTGGTCGGGCACGCGAGTCAGCCGGTTGCCGTCCAATCGTAGCCACTCGAGCAGCTGAAGACCGTCGAACGCGCCCTGCTCTATCGTCTCCAGCCGACATTGGCTCACCTCCAGGTTCGTCAGATGCGCCAGCTGCTGAAACGCCCCTCGACGGATCTCCCGGATGGGATTCCCGTTCAGCAGCAGCTTCATCAGGTTCGAGTAGTACGGGAAGGTCTCCGTCGGTATCTCCTCGAGCAGGTTCTCCGAGAGGTCCAACTCCACCAACCCGACCAGGCCCATTAACGCTTTGGACGCTATACGGCTGATATGAGATCTACCCAAGTATAGCCTCTGCAGATTGATCAGGCCGAGGGCGTGGAAACACTCCGGCGGCAGACTGACCAGATGATTGTTCGACAGATCCAACACCTGTGTCTCCTCACGGGCGCCCTGCGGGAGACCTTTCAGGTCCCTGTTGGCGCACTCCACCCACTCTTTGCCGCTAGTGCCTAGAAGTGCCCCTCTCCACCGCCAGGCTCGCACGCCCGAGCACATGGTGCCTCGTTCCCGACGATCCACTGCCGCCTCTATCCTTTCTATCTCATTTTCTCCTCGATTCCGTTCGTTTTTATTTCTACGCCGACGTTCCGCCAGACCTCTCGCCGAACGAGTGCATCCCGGTGATCCTCTCGGTTGGCTGCTCGAAGCGATTCACGCGGCTGATGGGTTCTCGCGGGGTCATCAAGCCGGGCTGCTCGATCCGCGTTCCCCAGCCTGAAACAACAACGGTTCAACAAGCACCTTTAGATACTGAGTTTCTCCGTGTTATTGGGTTTCTGTTGTTAAACCCTGCCGCGGACCGGGAAACAGAGGCGAAATTGGCCGAGGAAAAGCGCGTTGAATCGAGAAAGAATTCCGGATAGGTTTAAACAGTTTTTTTGAAAATGATTCAAGGAAGTAGAGGTCTTTAAGAACTAGATTAATCGACTGTCAGGAAAAATCTAATTTGTGTCCTATATCACGAGAACTTATGAGGTAAAGGCAAGTGTGCGATATTATCTTAAAACGGCATGTATCTAACGCATGAACGCATGAACGCCAAACCCTATTGCAATCTTTTTCGTTATTACATTGTCGCGTGCTTTGAGGCTAAGGATTTTGTCCTTGCCCGAGAATTCCGTGTCTTCGTAACCAGGGGCGTTCCCTTTTAGCCGGCTCGCTCTGTGTGCACATGCTGCTCGCAAATGAACATTTCATATTCTTCAGGCGTGTATGTATGTGTAGTACGTTCTCTGGAGCGTCGGAGTTAGCACGTTCATCGCCGTGCAAAATTCACCGACTGCCAGGGATTCAAAAACGGGACAAAATATTGCATTATCAGTTTATGGAACTTGTAAATTGCGAGCGGCTCACTTGTCGCATGAAATTGTGTTCGGTACCTACTTTTCAGCTTTTTCCCCAAATGATCCGGATATATCTAGGGTGTGTACTATTATTAATTAATCAGCGGTAAGGTCGCGAAGCATCGATTTCGAGGGAGCAGCGCCAATTACACATTCTCCGCTCGTAGCGGTCGTAAAACAAGACACCGTTGACGTTTCCGCGGCGCGGAGTTGATACTGTTCCCGAATTGACGTACTGCGGATTAATAATTAATCGTCCGATCACGCGATACATTTTGAACGAAGCCTCGGGCCGCATACTAATCGCTGCATCACAGAGGTCGACGTTAAACCGGGGCACGTCGCCGCGCGATTCACCATGGCACCGCGTGCCGCGTCACACCGCGGTTCGTATCCGCGGTACACGTTATACTTCCAAATTACGCACTGGTCGCGTCTATTAGCTCCAAGACACCGAGCTCACCGATTCACCGTTGCTGGCTATCGCGAACGAAACGCGTAAAGTTCCCGTGAAACGATCGCTGTAATCGATTCATCTCGCGGGGCTGCTCGTCGCCAAGGCGATTCTCCGTACCCGCGGGGGTATCCTACTGTTACTGTACGTTATAAGAGTGTTTAATCTACAAACATACAACGGAAAGAAGTCGTAAGTTGACAGAGAAGAAATAGGGGTGACGGTCAATTAAACGTAAAAATACCTACACTGCAATACTGTGGAGAAGCTGCTGCGCATTATAGCGAAGCAAGTGGGAATCTTCTTCGCTATATTAATACGGTGGAATCTCTCACATCTTATTGTTTTTCTTATCGAAGTTGAATGTTTATTGCGATCACCGCCCATTAAGAAGTTTTATGGATAGAGCGGGACGTATTGTTTGGAAGAATGGAGGGGGCTCTGTTAGAAAGCTCAGAGAGGACTACCGAAACGAATTCGCAGAGAACACCGACGTAGACGTTTCGAGGTACGGAACGATTCCCTTGTCGCGCGGAGAAAGTGCGAACAGGAATTCGCGAAGAGGGTCGAAGCCCCGGTTCTCTGCTGGCGCGTTTTATGGAAAAATTTGACCCACATTGCGGCGGAAAACTTCGGAAATCTTGGCGGCGTGGCTGCGGGATTGGCGGAGCCGGCGGGTCGCACAGACGTGAGTAAGAAAGTGTGTAGCCAGGGGACTTTGAAAGTGGCACAGATGGAGGGACCGAGAACGAGCAGAGAAACGAACGAAGGGAAAGTCTGTATTGCCGCGGGAAAAGTTGTCCCATAAACGAGAAGTTAATCCCTTTAAAAATAGTATCGATCTTTGAAGAATGTTTTATTGGACTTCTTGTATGAAATCTGAAGACCCTAGAAATATTGAATAACGGAGGAAACACACCGATGATACAGTGGGGAACGTGTGGCGAGAGGAAGTGTCGAGAAGTTGACGAGGAAGAGCAGTGGTGTCCGTGGAGGAAGTTGAAAGCTGGAGCGGGCGGGGGAAGGGTGATCGAAAAGGGATAATAAATTCCATAGATACAGGAGCGCGTGCATCCCGGGGACGAAGACGTCGCGTCGGCTCGAGAAGAAACACTCCTCGCGGCATAGCATCAGCCGATATCTGGATATCGGAATATCGAGCGCATGCGGTTCGGCATGCAAACCCCACGGTTTTTCATGGCTTTATTCCAGTATGCCCGTTCAACGAGGTTTTCCAACAGGAGGAGTGCAAAGGGAGGCCTCGAGGATATTGCCTGCTCGACATTTCGAATCCAATATCTACTATCGCCACTTTTTGCTTCCGCCAATTTTGACGATGCTCCCTCTAACGCGCTAAAACCGGCTCGCTCGGTCTTGGATCGTGTTCCAGCTATTGTTTGCCTTCCTGTATCGCGACCAGATCTCGATATTCCTACACGAATTAGAAGTATCGCAAGTATACGTATTAAGAATTTAATATCGAAAGTTCGATATTCTTGAGTAATTCGGGAATATTAAATTTCCGAGGCGGAAGTTCGCGTGGAATTTAATGTGAAGCCTATCCGACAATTGATCAACGTTTATAAAAAAACATTTTTTTACTTCCTTAGAAAACAATGTCGAAAACAAAAAAAGATATTCTTCGATGAAGGCAAGGGAATGAAATTTCGAAGAATCGGTTAAAGGTGAAGAAATCAGCAAACGTCGGATAATAAAGACTGTAATCGTGAAATGTCCCAATACATAGGTGTCTCGTTATACCCTCGCGAAACGAGTCAGAGATTACATTTTCCGTACGCGTTGTGTTTCTCGACTAGATTGGATAGTAGAAACGGGCACAACCAAAACACGCGTCGGGGGATTCATTCGCTTGCTCCGCCGACTGTTCCCAGGAATCGTCGGGATCGAATAAACAGATCGAGACACTCGAAAAACACCTCAATACTCTAGGTTTCGAGGAAGCGGAAGAGCATCGGAGGCCTACTTCGGTCGAGAGTCGAAATCAGAGAATCCTCCTTTAGACAGGAACGTTCTTCTAAACGCTTGGATTTCTGCCTCTATTCTCGACTTCCTCGAATTTCCCGGCATGCATCTTTCTCTTCAAATCACAACGATAGAATCGAGACGTCCAATTTTGAGGTCCCGCGATTATATGGAAATATTATAGTAGGGACAGTGTTATTTGTCTGTTATCAATATCACAAACACAGGTGCCCGGCTATCTCCGAGATAAAGATAAAAGAATACCCGTCTATGGGAACAATACAGAAAGACCAGTGAGGGGTTTTATTAATCTTTCGTTTTCCTCGTGTCTACAATCGTTATAGAAATACTAAACGACTGGTACTATCTATATATGTATATATGTTATATATTTCGAAACCAACATTGTATCGTAACTGCTTTCCAGGCGACGCCCTAGTCACTCGAATCGAAATTGACGCTTATCAATTAATCGAGCCAGAGTAAAACCCTAACCGTCCACCGGGTGTTGAATTGTTCGCTCAACGATTCACGCAGCCAGCAGTTGAAATTTCACGGGCTTTTACACCCGCGTTTTCATTACGGCGAAGACCCTCGAAGCTTCGCCACGGAATTTCTACTTTTCAAATGGCAACGCATCCGTTCCCGGCATTCTGTAAATTACTTTCACCGTTTCGCCGCGATTCCCCCGGTTAAATGATTACTCTTAGAAGCCTGAAAGAAATTGCGGGACACACCGCGGAAAATATAAAACGCGAGGTGTCGCGCAACACGACTGCCTCCTTCTCTCGTCCGCGACCCCTTTCACCTATCAGTCGTCTCCTCCACGACGAGGGCGGTGCGAAAATGAGAGAGGAGACGAAAAATGGGAATTCGATGTGTTCTCGATGGCATCGCCGATAAACTACCAGCATCGTCGTCGGGAATCCAGGCTGGAGTTTCCTGCTCCTCGTGAAACATCATGGCCGCGGCATGCTCCACGATTACAAGGCAATTTCACTGCTGAGCCAGCCGAAATAGATAATGCTGTGTAGAATATTTGGTGGATTCAATTTCAATATTCATTTTTCAGATGGTACCCTGACCTTTATAGAGTATAGAGCAGTGAGCACAGAGCAATTAGTTCGCAGATGAAGATCGCTCGAAAAAGCGAATTCTTTCCTATTTCCAATGGAATATCTGGTTTAAAAAGTACATTCCACGTCGACAGCGGCAAAAGAACATTCAGATTCCTTCGCTAATCATTCTACGGACCGTTCCAATTATTTCAGTAATTCCGCAATATCGTCGAACGACTTCGAAGGAAATTGAGAAACGAAGACGGGAAGTCGTTCGTCCGAGGAGCAAGCCAATAAACACGAGAACAGACGAATACAATTAACATCGTCTCGTTATTGGCCATATTAAGCGGCCTCGAAGAAAAGAGGTTCCAAAAATGGTTCGAGGGAGATGGGACGATCTTCGTTGAAGTCGCTCGAATCCGAACGAAGCTGTTGTTCGTGGCCCTTGTACCGAAAGAGAGAGGTCATCGGAGCCTTCGTCCTCGACTTACAATACCCTAGACTCTAGACGAACAAGAGGACAACCTACGAGGCCCCTCATCGATCCGGCCGAATGGTCCAAATCCACCCTTATTTCTTCCATCGCCGTGCCAGAGGTTCCCAAGCATTCCGATATCGCGTCCCACGATTTTTCGAATATCTTGTTATCTTCTC